ATCCGGTCTCCCTATTTAAACTCCCTAGACGCTTTTACTAATAGGGGACCTAATCCTAATATTCCGCCTCTAAACTTCCTACTATTAGCTATATAGCTAGGAAGTAAAGTTAGCGTATATACTATAGTAGTAGTAGGAGGAAATAGTAGCTAGGCTTTCTATATAGGAAAACTAGAATAGTATACTATAGATAAGATTATACTTAAAATAGGCTATAATAGTAACTACTAAGCTAAGACTACTCTATAGGGTTTATATAGATATCAAATATAGTAGAAGTAACTAAATTAATAAATAATAGTAGGAACTAACCTAGATATAATTATATTAGTTAGTTATAGGAAGTAGGAGAACTAAGGTAAGATAAGCTTCCTTTAGTTATGTAACTCTTAGTATTTATACTTTAGGTATCTATTCTAGCCTATCTATCTAGACTATACTATTTAATAGTAACTAGTAATATAGTAAGAACTAGGTATAAGCCGGTAAGCTAGCTAATAGTATCTATGTAGAAAGCCCTCTAGTATATTTAGCTAATATTAATAATAATAGTAAAGCCGACTATTTTTAGGTTAGTATAGCTTTCTATTAGATAAAAGTATAATTAGCTAACTATTACCCGCTCTCTAGATTAATCCTAAAAACGATTAGCTTATAGCCTAGCTAAATAATTTACCTAGTATATAGGCTCTAGTAGGTAGTAATAAAGGTATTATAGCTAAGAGCGCTAGAGCTAGTAATACGGTTTTTTTACGGATAGTAAGTTTAGCCTTATTATTACTATATATTACTTTAGTAAGCTAAATAATAAGAATTAGTAAATAGCGACGGATTTGTAGATTATCTCGTAGTAAACGCTAATATAGGATCCGTTACTTACTATTAGAACTATAGGGCTAATACTTTAGCTAAGTATAGCTAGCGCTTTATTCTAGAAGGTATAATAGCTACTAGCGTCCTCTATACTAATCTACTTACGCTTAAATTACTAGATATTAATAGTAATATCCTATTACTTAGCGGTCTTTACTAGTTCTAGATAATAAAAAGTTTTAGGGGACGGTTATACTAACTATATAATAATCGGAGAAAAAAGGTCTTTAGGCCTCTAGCTAAATATTAGTACCTCGGGATCTTAAAATATAGCTTTCGAAGCTTAAAGAGGTATCGCTTTAGGAGCTTCTTCTAATATAAAGAATATCGTTTTTACTAATATAAGTCGTCTCTTCGTTAAGTTATTTATATATACTAACCTAATAATTTATAGATAGTAATAGAAGAGACAATTATCTTATATAGTATAGCGCTATATATTCTACATTATATTACTTTTTATAGTAGATATCGTTAACGGCTATTATAGGAGCGAAAATAGCTAGCTTATAGGCCTCTTAAACTAACTAATATAAACCTATAGCCTACCGTTCTACGTTTAGTAAGAGTAGACTATTATAGGCGGTATTAGCTAAGATCCTTCTTTACTAAGACTTACTAACCTAGATAGCGATAGGAAGGATAACTATATATAATCTTAGTATAACTCTAAAGTCTTATAACTAATCGTTATAGGTATATATTAATAAAGAGAATAGAGCGTTATAGGTATAGTAGAACTATAGGACTACTAATACTTTAATAGCTAGAGATAGCTTTTACTTTATAGATATTAGTAAGAATATATTAGCGGTTTTATATTTGTCCGACTACTAATTATATTAATTTAGACGGAAATAGAATTAATAACTATATATAGCTTGATTCTATATTAGGAGTACTATTCGTATATACGAGTTTAGAGCTAAGCGATAGTAACTTATTAGGCTAGTAATAGTCTCCTTTTACTAGTAGCTCGGCTCTAGCTTCTAGAGCTATACCTACTAAATAAGTCTAGTTTACCGATATTAATAGAGATAGTAAGAACGACTACGTTACTATTAATAGAGTTACTAGTATATTAAATTTTTATTAGAATAGAAGTAATATAAGTTAGCGATAATAGTATATATAATACGAGCTAATACTAAGTTCTATCTAGCCTAGTTTAAATAGTTATAGCTTTTAGACGTAGTAGCCTATAGACTAGGTTATAACTAGTTTTAGCGTTAGAGTAAATATAAGAATTACTAGTATATAGTATTAGCTAAGGATCTTTAAAGTACTTTACTAATATAGGATATAGATATAAATAGTAATAAGGTCTATTAGAATTAGAATTCTATTCTTACTATACTAAGCTAACCTACTTTAGTTTATAGACTATATTTAACTAGACTTATATAGAGTAATAAATATCTACTTTAGCTAATATATAAATAGTATATCTAATATAGATTTCTACGCTACTCTAAGTACTAATACCGTAGGTATAATATAACGTCCTAAAAAGATTAGCTTCTTTAATCTAAATAGGTTAGAATAATATTATATATCTCTTAGAATTAAGCCGCTAACTTTAATATAGAGATAGAAAAGCTAACTATATATAAACTAGAGCTATAGATAGTACCGTTTTTATCTAGCTTAATAACTTCTTTTAGATACTAACGTAGCTTTTATAGAGCTAGGTAATAGAAGGAGTAGGTACTAATAGAGCTAGTATATAGTAGACTAACTTATAAAGTACTAGGCGAGCTAGCTATATCGCTATCGACTCTAGTATAAACGCTATATTAGTATAGCTTAATAGCTATACGGATTAGTTAGAGCTGCTAATAAAGTATTCGGAAAAACGGACCTCGAGTACTATCTAGTTTAGGTTTAATATCGATATTTTATACCTATAGGGTTATTATAATATATAGATAAATATACTAGCGTATTATCTTAACTAAGCTAACTATATACCTAGCTCGCCTAATATTAACTACGACTATAACGGAGGTTAAAGGTTTACTAGAACCTTCGATACAAGTCTAGTATATAGTACGAGAACAGTAAGCGACTACTTTAGTTCCGTATACGGCGTAGCTGTTCCGTGTTTTATATAGAGTAGAAAGGTTATCTAGGACAGGTATAGCTTTTACTCCCTATAACTCTACAACTAACTTGTATTATATCGTGCGAGGTCGGGTTGCTCCTAAGACAAATGCTGGCGACGATTGTCGAGGTCGGTTAGAACGACTGGTATAAGCTGGGTCGGGGATCGCCTGCCCAAAGCCTTGGCGACGCTTCTAAAAGGCTGCCCCTAGTCAACGACGAGACATGCGACTTTGCAATGTTCGCCCTTGCTTACACGGTAGTGCAGAATGATGCATCCATAGTTCGTATACATATCTAGCTTCCAGTCATCGTCTTCCATGCGGCTCTCGCCGTTTGGGGTGATGCTCGGTCACGTCGAGGTCACAAAGCCGAACAATTTCGAGTGCTGTCCGCCTTTATAAAGGTACTAGAGAGCCTAACTTGGCCCTGCTGCAAGAAAATCGTTACTACTTTACAACACTGTATGGTGAGTAGCTTTGCTCTGTTAAACAAAGGTGAGTTAATTGATGGATCTATCAAGTGGGAGCATGCCTGACCTATATACCCCAGTGGGTGGCAAATGTGGCGCTGCTAATCTTCAACATTTCCGACGCGGACTCGCATAAGGATAGCCGGGTAGGCGAATCCAATTTGATGGAGAAGCAGGACGCTACCTACTCCTTGAACAATAGTGTCTTGTATAGGAACGGAGTTGTCTATCTCCCTCCTGACGCCGCACTTGTCGCGCAAGCGATTCGTATGCACTACGATGACCCTCTAGCTGGCTATTTTGGGCAGGCTAAAACACAAGAGTTACTCTCACGGAAGTAGTGGTGGCCAACCTTGGTTAAGGACGTCACTGAGTATGTGAGTAGTTGCAGTATCTGCCAAAGAACGAAGGCGAAGCGCCATCGACCCTACGCGAACTGAATTTACTGCCATACCCTGAGGGTCTCTAGCAAGACCTAACAATGGATTTTATCACAGACTTGCCCCCAAGCAGACGTGACGCATGCGTGTACGATGCGATCCTTGTAATTGTAGATAGGTTTAGCAAGATGAACCTCTACATCCCCACTACCAAAATCGTCACAGCCGGCGACCTTGCGAGGCTCCTGCGTGACGAAGTAGTGAAACGCTTTAGTATCCCAAGGGGGATACTAAGCGATTGTGGCCCCGTGTTTACGAGCCAATTCTGGAGCGACTTCTGTTTCGAGTCGCATGTGGCTCGCAGGCTAAGCACCGCTTTCCACCCTCGAACCGATGGACAAATTGAACGAGCAAACCAGGTCGTCGAACAGTACCTCCGCATATTCTGCTGCGAGTCCCAAGACGACTGGGCAATGCTACTGCCGCAAGCAGAGTTCGCCTACAACAACAGCGAAAACACTTCGCTTCACATGAGCCTCTTCTGCGCCGCGATGGGCTGGAACCCTCAACTTCACACTTCACCACCATCTCGAGACGAGATTTTCGGAGTCCTAGAAAGCCATGGACAGGTGCGTGTAGATGTCAAGCAGGCAGTGATAAGTACGAGGCTGCGAAAATTGGAGGACCTTAGTTCGAATCTAAGGGCGAATATTTCCTTTGCACTTAGTTGGGCCTTTGTTTTTGCTTGCTAGTTGGTAAGGCTCTGGAATCTCCCAATAGTACGTTTACGGGATTTCCATCGAGTATGAGAACGAGTCGATCATGTCCATGGCGTCAGCCGTATATGACGCTTGCTGTGACATGATATTAGAGTTGGTACCCAAGAATGCCATTTCATTTCCGGCGATCTGCCCTGTTTGCTGTCTAAGTTACATACTTATTTCTCCCGCCTCAATCAACTTCTCTTGTTCCTCTCTGCCCCCGGATCGTAGTACTCCTTATAACTAATCCTATAACCGAAAATCGCCCATCCAATCGCCGCAAGTACCCACATAAAGACCGCATTAACGAAACACTTAACATACTCCCCTGCGACTGTCGGCACAGGCAGTATATCCCCCGGCATCCATGCCCCAGCAAGGAAGACACACAACTGCAACAAACTCGGCTGCTTTTCAACTTTTCGACAATCATCCAGGTACGTCAACATATTCCGAAAGAATCTCTCCTCCATCGCGAACCTCTGCGGATCATACCGATACTCGATGACTAGCGGCTCTGTACTCCCTGACATATTCTCGAAACGGTGCGAAATGCAGGGTGAAATCGTGATGTCTTCTCCTTCGCCCAACTCTATCTTTTTGTTGGCGAGATACCATATACCGCGACCAGATTTTATGTGGAAAGTTTCGGACTGGAGGAGGTGGAAATGCGAGATCGGGGCCATGAAGGAGGGTGTGCCGTCGGGCCATTTGTTGTCTGGTGGGACGGATTGTTTGCCGAAGTACGCCGTGCCGGATCTATAGAACGCGTTGATGGCACTGTCATTGTCGTAGGTTATCAGATTCAGGTGGGAGACTTTTGTTCGCGGGACTTGAAGAGGTTGAAAGAGAGGCATGTTGGTCGTGAAAACAAGAAAGTCTGGATTAAGATCGCTTCCAGAACAAGAACGCTTCCTTCATTCCCGTTCGTGAGAAGGGCTTAGTGATGTAAGGTAGAGAAAATAAATGTGCGGCTGAGATCGCCTACCGTGAGGCTGGTATTTGTCAGCTGAAACGTTGGCCTGGCGTGCGTAAGACGGACGGAGGCATCATCATGCTACAGGCTGGAGCAAGACAGATGTCAACCCCTGCCTGCATCGGCAGCTTCAAACAGGCTTGACATCCAATTAGAAGTGGTCGATTGGTGGGCGCGGTCCAATCACCTCCTTTGTTTACACGACAGGGTTTGACATCTTTCTTGCGCCCGCCTGTAGCTGCCACGGATGACCGCAGGTTGGTTGGTTGGGTGGTTAAATCCTACACGGATTCAGCCGCAGCGGCTATGCTCGGATGCAGAGGGTGGGGTAACAGCCGACACGATGCCGAGCGAATTAACATATCCCACACCAAACGTGTGACCAGCTGTCCCCTTCCCCCCGCTTGCAATCTGTCTCTATGGACGACTAATATATATCTCTAGAAATGAATTATCCCTCTTATCTTGTGCTTCTCCAGTGTTGTCCGTGTGTCGTACAAATGGAAGCTTGTTTCAGTAACCCTCTGCTGTAGCTCCTGCATCTCTGCGACCGTTTACCTACAGTCTCCTATTAATAAGAGACGTCGTCTGTCCGATATGCCCATATACCCTTAGAGCGTGCATTTGTTCTTTTAATATGTTCTCTATCTACTTTCGTTACCTCTCACTAGATTCCTATGTAGCCGTGTGTGTATATATGCGTCGGGTCGGTGACGCTAGTAACTACACTATCTCTCCTTCAGCTCCACAGGCGCAGCGCTCCTCTCGTGCAAGGCGTCGAATTACTGAGCATGAGAGCTCCCTCTTGAATCTCCTCAGTCCTTGTCGGGTGTAACGAGAGGTGACGAGTTTCCCGACACGGTTGTGGGGCGACAATAGGTGAGGCTGTCTGTTGTTCCACAGTATTGTGTGGCACCGATCGTAGCATGCCTGGTGTCTGCTCAATTCGCGAGCGAGATAATACCGTTCTGTTCGAGGGCCCGTCGATACAGGGCGTCGCAAACATTGCCGGGGGTTTATAGTATTGTAGGGTGTTTGGGCTCGGTTATCGCGTCCGTATCGCTGAAGATCGAGTCGATGATGCTGCCGTCGCCGCCGACTCAGGTCCACGCGTCGTGTTAGAAGCGTGCTCGTAGTGTTTTGCAGTCCGTGTCTGCCGTAGCCGCGACGGTGAGCCTGCAGGGATCGCGTAGCGAGCTGCAGAAACCATCGCGATCACGAGCAGACGTATTCCGCACCGTGATACAACTGATTTCCCAAAACCACAGTACTGTAAAATACTCGCTGTGTTCGTGCTTTTCGCTGCTTCGCCCATCAGCTAAACGCTTTCGATGCCATCCTGGACTTAAGCCACGTAGCACAGGTAGGGTTAATTGGAAGTGCCTTTGGGCCCTGCACCAAACGCATTGGGTAATCCGACGCAGCGGACTTCCCTCACTTGTCATTCCAATTCTAAGCAATCGCTTCTGGGGCTTCGGATGTGCGAACAGAGATTAGTAGGGCCAAGCCGATGCTCTGTTTCTGTGCTGAGTCAAGTTGACGCGTAACACAAAAGATAGTGTGGGAAGGGAACTATATCGGGATATGAATGTAAAGCAAGCGACGTTTATCGGGCCGGTCTGGACAGAAGTCACAGACTCATTCGCATGATCATCCCTGACATGATTTTTGTCTTACTCTCATCATAAGCCTACTTGTATGATCTTCAATGAGATCTTAAGCGGCACGAGCAGTCGCGATGTCGTTGTTCATCGAGATGAAGCCCGACTTGTCAGGGTATAGTTCGAGGATGGTGGTAAAAGGTGAGGAGGAGAAAAAGCGCATCCGCTCGCAAGCAGCACAGCGTCCCGTAAAACGAGTATCAGCGAAGTCGTCGACGAAAGAAAGATTCCAGTCAGACACCGAGTCCATGACCCCAGGTCATGCACGGCAAGCAACCAATCTGCCCCAGGCATGCATACATGACTTGCTCAACGAAACAAACGTGTACCGCACCGCATTAGCGGCAAACTTCGTGGAAGGCTATTTCCCCATGACGAAGAAAGTAGACACACGACTTGCTGGAATTGTCGATGCTTGGTGCGCGCCTGCCAACGCACCAATGCAACTTGCGAACGACGCTCTCATGCTTCTCCATTTTGGTGGGGCGATCGGAAATCACCAAGTATCGATGGGGGGTCTTCGAAAGTACGCCAGCGCCCTTCGAAGTTTGAGACAAGAGTTGAGCCATAAAGAACATCAATCTGTGGGCGCATTCTGCGCAGCCCAGGCGCTGCTCAGCTGCGAGCTATACAGCATCTCGTCGGGTCTTGAGACGTGGGAGAAGCACATTCTGGGTATCAAAGCTGTGTTCCAGGCAAGCAAATATTTGGACGGACACACAGAATACATTGCAGGCCTTGCCAAGTATCTCTGTCATGTGGCTCTGATGTATGCTCTTGTCAAGCGCAAAGCTGTCGCGCTGTCCCAAGACAGCTTTCCAGACGCTATGCACGTTGGCCGCATCGGCACCTTAGACAAGCTTACAAGGCTCGCGATAAGATTGTCCAAGCTGTTGGAGACTGTTGATAGCCTGTGCGCTGCATGCAAGGATGAGAGAATCTCGATGCGACTCAAAACCTTCTCGCAGTTGCAAGCTGTTGAGAAGGGGCTCAACTTGTTGTCGGAGCAATTTGAGTGCAACATCGACGGCCGCTCGAAAATAGAGGTCCCCAACGTTTCATCTCACGGAGACACACGCTCCCATACCGCTGTTCTTGTGTTCACTTTTCACCGGATTCTTCGATTGCTAGTCTCCACGTCTCAATGGAGACTTTTGAGGAGCAATGGACAAAGTGCGAGGAAGGAAAGACTTGCTAGCAACGAGTCCGTGGAGATGCTTTTAGATGCGATGCATTATTTGGTGGCTACTGCCGGCGGACATGTTGCGAAAGCCCAGGCTATTCGAGCGCCAGTGTTCTTCGCGCTACGCTGGTACCAGCATAGTGAGCAACACAAGGCGAGCCAGAGATGGCGAGAACTCGAGACCAACTTCCGGGCTCAATTCCATTATCTCAGTTGGGATGCTCTGTTGCCTTTTTCCTTCGCTGCGCTTGCTTGGCTGTGAAGGGGTCAAATCATGGTTGAAGGGACGCTTGGGGCGCGTTTCAGTGCACATTAGCAACGCCAGTTAAACAAGCGCATAGATAGCCTACCCAACGCTTGCATGAGCTAGTAACAGACCCGGAAGTTCTCTTCGTGCCACGCACGGGCCGGCATATACTTGCAGGCTGCCTCCAGATATGTCACCGGGCAACGCCCCTGACAGTTAGCGTAGTTCTTACGCTCACGTATGCAAGCACTGTCACAGGACCCAAGGAACCATGGCCGGAACTCTACGACGGAAGCGCTCGGTACGGGACCTAGCCGAACGACCAGACGGAAGGCTCTTTGGAAGCTCTGCCCATACAGGGGGAGCGCATAAACGGACCAACACGGGAGTGGGGCCAGCAGCGCTCGATAAAGAGAACGAGAGCTCTCGAGGCTCTTGAGAGCAATAGACTAGTGCGCACCAACAGCCAAGCTGAAAAGATCCTTCCCCACCTCGTCTAAACTTGTCTCACAGCGATTGCCATTTTCAGAGTAGCGGCGAGGCTGTGCGCAAAACGGGAACGATGCGACAGCGACAGCGACATAACAAACCCCAGATCTCCTCGACGAGCTCCTCTCCAGATTATACGTCCACAATGAAGGATTTCATCTTTAGCACCATCTTCTCTCCGCCAAAGGCTCAAGCAAGCCAGCGCAACAAGCCACTCCAAGTCCTTGCACTTGGCCTGTCAAGGACTGGAACGGAGTCCCTCAAAAGGGCCCTGGAAATCCTTGATTATGACCACGTCTATCATGGCTTTGATTTTCTCAAACATCCGGATCAAGTTCTTCAATGGGTGCCTCTGCTAGAACAGAAAATCGCCGGGAGAAAAGATTTCTCCGCCGGGGATTTCGATGGAATTATCGGTCACTGCGAGGCGGTCTCGGATCTGCCATGCAGTGCACTCTCCTCAGAGCTTCTAAGTGCGTACCCCGATGCCTTGATCATTACAAATCATCGGAAAAACGTGGATGACTGGTATGCGAGCTACTATCAAACCGTCGACCCTTTGGTAACGAATTGGTGGTACTCCTTCCTCTGCCATTTCGAATTTGAAGCCTACTGGGCAAGACGACTCGTTTGCAGAGTGCAGGATATCCATTATCATGGCGATTTCAAGCACCGAGGAAAAGAAGGATATGAAAACCACTATGCCAACCTCAGGGCGGAAGCGAAGGACAGATGTCTTGAATGGACGGTCGAGGACGGATGGTGAGGCATCTACTGCAACTAACAGCGGACTTGAGCTGATACTTCAAAGGGAGCCGTTGTGTTCGTTTCTTGGGAAAGCTGTCCCAGAGGTCGACTTCCCGCGAGGGAATGATCCCGCGGCTTTTGAGCAGGAGAAACTTCGAATCACCGCGGACAGGTTTGGACGTGCGTGGAGGAATGTTCAAATCACAGCAGGTGCAACTGTTGTTGGAATATCTGCGATCGCATGGTGGGCTCTGAAGACAGTCTGAGAAGGACGATTACCATTGTTCAAGTTTGATATGCATGCTCAAGATATCTCCATCACCTCCCGAATGTACTCATCAACAGTCGCCAGCTTAAGTGGCAGGCTTGTCTGCATGTCCCTGTCAAAGACACTCCCCTCCATATTCTCTATCAAATGCAAATGCGGAGTAGTCATATCTGTCGGCACATGTCGAACCGTCATCGGTACAGAAGACATCTGCTGCACTTTCATAGCAATCTCGTCCGAAGAATTCCAATCACCCGCAAAAAGCAGCCAGTCATCTTTGTACCTCTGCGGGTCAATGAATGTCTCCGCAAGAGCACGCTCAAGACCATATCAACGAACGAAAGGATACACTTTCTTGCCGGTGCCGTGGACGTCGATGTTGCCAGAACTCTTGTCGATGGTGATCATGGCCGAGATGACGCAGTCGAAGAATCCAGAGGCGATGGTCCATGCCTAAGTCTGCAAGAACAAATGGTTTCACGCCGTCTCGTTCCGCATGCTCGATGAGCTTGAGTTGTTCGTCCATATCGGTGTGACCCGGTTCAAGTCAGTGGAGAAGTACAGACTGCTATTCAATGGAGTCCTCACAATTGGTAGACGCAATCAGATCAAATCCAGTGAGCAATTGCAGCTTTTGTGTTTGTATCACAGGAACCAATTGTTATTAAATCAGCTTCAAGTCTACTGAGACATCTTACAGACTTTTGAGTTCTGACGTCGAGAGAATGCGACGCCATCGAAGCCTTCATCAACAAGAGCTTTGGTGACTGTCGACAGCATCAGCAACTTCCAGCTCATTGAATACCCAGATTTGCGAGGAGGTTGACCTTCACTACCCAGCCTACCCATCGCTCCCACAACGCCAATTCTTTTGAATGCCATGTTGGAGTGCTGAATGTTGATAGCATGTTGCTTGGCATTGTGTGGTGAACTGCAAAGAGCACGAAGCTGACAACTTGACAGAACGAAATATCGGAGTTGGATCAGACAAGGTAAGAGATACGAACTTCGATTGCAGAACGACCCATAACCACATTCATCATTTGCTCTGATCCGGCAAGTTCATCTGCTCGCCCCACGCACTGGACCCAGGAACAACATCCGTCGACCGTATAACATGCTCCCAATCCTTGAGCCGCTGCAAGTACGCCTCCGTCTCCTGTACACACGTCTCCCAAGCATCAGTCCCCAATGGCAGACTCGGCGGCAGCGTCTTCCCTTTCGCATCTCCCTCGCCCTTGACCAGATCGATCATCACCTTACACGCCTTGCCCGTATCGCCTGGCTGGTTTCCATACATCTGCACAACCGCCCCTCTGCCCCATTCAAGGATCCCGTTGTAGCTCGTTGTCGGACGATCGAAGTCGTACTTGGTTGGGTGCGTGACGTTGGTGCGGAAGTGTCCTGGATGGACGGTCAAAGTGCGGATGTTGAGATCTTGGTCTGCGATCTCTGCGGCAAAGGTGGTGACGAGACGGTCCAATGCGGCTTTGGCGGCCATGTAAGTTCCGCAGCCTGGGACGGTGCTCCAGAAGGCCGTGTAGGAGCTGTTGACGAGGAGGAAGCCTGATTTCTGCTTGCGCCAGTGTGGCATCAAAGACCGGAGTATGTTTGTTACGCCGAAGGTGAGTGTGTTCATGCTGCGGAAAATGTCTTTCTCGACGCTGATCGACATGTCAATTCTCGTCCCAAATATGTAGCGTTGTGTACATACTCTGCCTCTTCCACCGGGGCAAAATGCACAAAGCTCGCATTCGCAAAGAAAACATCTATCCTGCCGTAGAAAGAAACGGCTTCTTCGACCTTACTTTTCAGCTCATCAAAGCCCGCGGTAACATCCAACTGCAGAGTCGCTGCCCCGAGTTCTTTCAATGGCTTGATCGAGTCGATGTTACGGGCGGTGGCTATGACTTTCTCGCCTCGCTCAAGGAGTTGCTTGCTCATTTACCAGCCGAAGCCAGTACTGCAGCCCGTTATGAGCCACACTTCTTGTTTAGAGAACATAGTGACAGTCCGGTGTGTCGATGGGGGAGCAGACGATGAGATGTAGTGAGAAGGTCGCTGGGCTTTTGTACGGCTGGTCACACTGCCCTAACAGATGACCGTAGTATCGCCCTCCTTACATCGTAGCTTCAGCCTTTCGTCAAGGGCGTCATCCGGAAGGAAAGGTAGCTCCGAAGTAGGCGTATTTACCTGATGGATTCCACGAGATCCGCCCTCCGACTTGGATGATCTCAGGCACACGTGGTTAAAGTTCCCCGCGTACCATCCTCATGTGGACAACGTAGAACCTAATTGCATGCTAAAGACAGAGATACCATTAGCTGAGTACAAGTTCTGCACGAATCATACCAGGAGGGCTCAGCCCAGGATTCGTGGTGTGTACAGTAAAGGAAGTCTTGGACTTTTCAACGATCCATGATGTTGAGCTGGGCATCCGAGCCAACGAATCACTGAGTGGCTCGTAAAGGGCAAGAAATGCAGCTCAAGCAGTGATTGAACCAAAATTGGCGGCCTGCTGGTACAGGATTTGCCTAAAAAGTACATGGTCCCCAAGCTGACGGCCAGGCTGGCAGGATTCAGCCGCCCGCCCCCGTGTCTATCCCACGCATCCTGCTCCTCATGAACTACGAAAAAAAACAACGAACATAGCGAGTAACTCACTTTTTGGAACTTAGTCGTATCACGGTGTATTACACGTCTGCCTGCGGCCGCGACGGCCTCTGTAGGTCGCTACGCGACCCTCCGTATTAGAATAATACTTATAGAGTTACCGTCGCGGTCGTAGTAGATATAGTCGACGAAATACTACGAGTATACTTTTAACACGACGTATTATTAGAAGTTAGCGATAACAGTAGTATTATAGTATTAATCTTTAGTAATATAGATACTATAACTAAGCCTAAATATCCTATAATACTACGGTTATAATATATAGTAGTAGATAGGTATTTTACTATCTATTAAAACTCTAATAATATTAGTAACGTCCTATATTAATAAGCCCTTAAATATAATAGTATTATCTTACTCTAGAATTAAATACTAGATATCTAGTATACTATAATTAGTACTATATAATATTATAGACTACTATTACCCTCTAATTATATTAGAAGACTCGTTACCTCTTAGTATACTTAATAAAGTCTAAAAAGATTTAAGAGAGAGCTCTATACTTAGTAATTTAATACTTTATATAAGCGGAGTATTATATTTATAGAGCTATAGAGAAAAAAGTATTACTACTAGCGTTACTAACCTAACGTATATATATATATATATATATAGCTATATAGGAACCTAGTACGAGTTACTAAAAGTAGAGGAAGAATAAAATTAAAGAATAAATATACGTCTAGAGAGGTTAGGGATATAACAGATAGATAACGTCTCTATTAGAGAGAGACTATAGATATATAGTCGTATATAGATAGGAGCTATAATAGAAAGTTATTAAAAATAAAGTTTTATTTATATAATATATAGAGTATACTAGAGAATATTAGAGGGAGTATTTAATTCTAGAGATATATATTAGTCGTCTAGAAAGATAGATTATAAGTAGGGAGGAAAGAATAGCTAGTTATACTATAGAGTATAGTAAAGTAGGACGTACTAATTCGCTCGGTATCGTATTAGCTATTCGCTAACCCTCTATATCTAGATATAGCCGCTAACTAAAATACGGCTAAAACTAAGTAGGACTTAATTAATTAATTAATTAATTAATTAATTATTAGGAAGAATTAAATTAACGGAAATTAAAAAGATAGAGTAGATAGAAAAGATAGTAACGAGAACAGCGATAAACTTGCTATCTTAAAGTAAGTATAGTAAAGAACTAATAAGAGATAATATAGGATATAGGAATATAGTAGCCTAAAGAAACTAGCTTTAAGCTAAGACGTATCTATAGATAGTATTAACTTTAACCTAACCTCTAAATAACGACGTAGATATCTATAAAAAAGGTACTATTAGATATAGATATCGCTAATATAGCTTTAGATACGCTAGACGGACTAGCGTCGCTTCTAAGCGTACTAATATATAATATTTTAGACGTCGCTAAAAGCGCGTTTACTAAGCTTCTCTAGTAGATCGAAGAGCTATCTAGTCTACTAGTAGTCCTATATAAGATATAGGCCGTATATAAAATAGTTAAAGCGCTCCTAACTCTACTATTATCGCTATAATAAATATAGGTATAAGCTACGGTTATAGTACTATAGGCGACCGCGCTACAAAGTCTACTACTATATAAAACGAGCGAAATTACTATCTAGATCCCTAATTTAGAAAAGAGAAGTATTATTTCTAGTTTATTAAATAAGACGATTATATAAAAAGTTTAGTAAAGCTATATAGAGGCGAAAGTAGTAGTCGTAGCCCGAAAGCTACCTAGTAGAGATATCTAGCTATACTTTAATAGTAAAAGAGTAAAGATAGAAATACTTCGGGAATAGAAATAGATAACGTACTTAGGAAACTCTACTATAGCGACGGTACAGCTATACTAAGTTATAGTATATAGTATCCTAATTAAATCGATCGATCCTAGTAAGCCGAGTAACGTAGTAAAGTTATAAAAGTAGAACTAATCTCTATATTTAGGACTTAAAATCGTATAGGCGAAATAGCTATAATAGGCTTACGTACTTAAGAAAAAATACTCTATACTAGTACTAGGGTTTATAGACGTCTAAATAGCGAATTAGATTATCTATAAAAGCCTCGTTAGTAATTTTACGCTATATATAGCTAAATACTATAACTCGTAATTCCGTATTATATAGTATTTTAAGTACTAAGTATACGGCTATATAGCTACAAACTATTATAAAGTAGATACGTACGGGTACTATACGATATTATATAAAACGTAGGAATATATAAGAAAAGAGGAGCCGAAGTATATAAACTATAATAGAAGATACCTAGCCTAGAGTATAGAGTATAGCTTAAGAAAAATAGTAAAAGTAAAAGGAACTTAAGCTCGACTTATTACTCTAAATTAGTATAGCTAGACGAATAAAATAATAGCGGGACGTAGTATATAAGAGCTAGAGTAGATACTTATAGAACTTTAGAAACGAAAGTACTTCCTAATTAGAGAAAAGCGGAAACGTTAGGGACTTAGTAGACGCCCTACGATAATAATATAGCCCGAATTATAGTATACTAACTCTATAATAGAAGATAAGTAGAGTACTAACGGTACTTAATATTATATAGTATAACGTTAATAAAAGTCGTAACTAGGTTATAAGCGTATTTTTCTAAGTAGTAGACCTAGAGATATACTACGTAATTATACTCTAAGAACTATAAAAAGACCTATAAATACTAATAACGATACGCTCGCTAAATTACTATCTCGTCTACCTACCTTATAAAGATACAAGAGTATACTTCTTCGTAAGTAAAGTACTCGACTAGAATAGCTAGGAAACGAAAGAATACTTAGCTAATCTTTTAACGCTTACGTTCCGTATAAAGGCCTATACTTTATATATCTATAACTATTATAATTAGCTATTAAATCTAACCTCGAGCCGAGAGCTTAGCGTACTTCGTTAGCTCCCTAGAGCGCTCGCTAGCGAAGGCTAATATTTTCTACTTAGAGACTTTAATCTATACTATCTATCCTAGAGAGGCGTTCTCCTACTAACGTAATATACGCTAGCGGAAGATTTTATAGATATTATAACTATAGCGGACCTATAGTTAACCCTACTACTAGGCTTAGTAATATAGCGGACCTAACGTAGTATAAATACCCTCGACCTTGTCTTTATAACTAGTTATATAGTAGGACAAATATAGTAATACCGACCTTACGAGGAGCTTAACTTAGACTTAGATTATATTCTAGTTATTACCTTAATTAAAATAATAATATCTACCTAACCTAATAAAAAGCCCGCCTATCTATAGTAGAAAAGAGTAGACTAGGATAAAGTCTATAAGACCCTATAATAAAAGATTAACGATCTTAGCCTAGTCTCTAGTACTAGCTATATAGACTTAGATAAGAAAGTATAATAGCTTTAAATAGTAATTTAGGATACGATAGAGTATATAATACTAAAGACCTAACTTTCACTACTTATATAAAGTAGGTAGACCGTTAAGTATACTAATATAATACTACGAGTAAAAAGAGTATAACGATAATAGATCTAGAGTAGTTTAGATATCGATTATATAGTATACTAGATTATAATAAACTTAAAGAAGCGATAGATATAGAAGAATACTCGCGTAATATAGTAATAGACTATAGTAGATATTATAAAAGACCTAAAGAAGATATAGAGGCTAGCTAAGTAGGCGAGAATAACGGCGCTTAAACCCGTATATTACGGTTCTTACACGCTAGGAACCGTGCACGGCTTAGTAACTAAGTACTACGTAACTTAGCCGCCTCGACTACTTAGTCGAGATCTACGCTCTAACTAAGTAGTAGAGTAAATAGAGTAACTAAGTATACTAAGTATATAGATTAGGACGAATCTCCTTAGTATATAGGAACGATATTATACTTGTTATAATAGCGTTTAACTTACTATTTAATCTTACTATTTAGTTTATAATTATACCTAAACCTCTATCTTAAGATTATTTTAGTAGTCTACCGACTCTCTCCTTTTAACGAGCTCTAAC